ACTAAAACTGAGTCAACTAGAAAATTTTTGAGGATGATGAGGAGGATAATTAACTATAACTAAAGCAATAAGTGGGCCCACACATAATATAAGGGTGGAGATAGCCACTACAATCGGGCAGACGTATGGGCACTTATCTTTTTGGGGTGGTGGCGCGTGAGAAGTTCTAGGGTGGTTGTAGTGGAAGGGTGGGCCTTGCACCGGCAAAAGGTAAACGGCACTTGGGTTGGTGGTGGTGGCGGCGACGTGGTGCCAAAGTTGTGCTCGAGGTGGTTCCACGAACTTATTATACATATGTACATATTTTTACTATTTACATATACTTATATGATAATTTTAAATTATGCGCTCTAAAATTTTAAATTCTTCTAATTTTTTTTTGACATATATCTTAGGGGTGGTAATTTGTGTTCGCGAGTCGTAATCGTGTCGTGTCAATTTAAGGGTATTATGCTAAACAGCTCAACCCGAACATGACCTATTTAATAATCGTGTCAAGAACTATCAACACTAACTCGACTTGTTTATTAAACGGATTAGACGTGTAACCTATTTAATGACCTATTTAAAAAAAAAAATTATTATTATTTAAATTATTAATATTACTCAATAAAATAATAAATACTAAAAAAATATAAGTTTTAATCAACCAAATTACTAAATAGTTTCTAGTTTACAAAAAAATTAAATTATAAGATACGAGTTTATATAGTAATTTTAGAACTTAAATACAAATTTATTTACAACATATATAGTTAAACTTGTATAAACGAGTTACACGGGTTGAACCCCTTAACCTAAAAATAATACGATTAATTAAACGGGTTAATCGTGTTGACCTGTTTATGACCCGAATTCATTTAAGGTTAACACAAACCCGTTTAACTCGTGTTGTGTTCAAGTTGTATTGGCAGGTCGTGTCAACTTTTATCACCCCTAATATATCCCCCTTTGCAAGTACACCATATATATATATATTTCTAATTTTTGTTTCCTTTTTCAAAAAAATTCTTTTTTACTTATATATAATCATATATTTTTCTATTTTTTCACTTATTTCTTTTTATCGATGATATTTGTGATTGTATTTAATTAAAACATTATTAATCAATATTTTGATTATTATATTTGTAACTATTTTTTTTTACAGTATTTATTTAGTATTTTATTTTACAACTATTTTTATTTTTATTTTCTTTCAACAAGTACATTGTGTCCCTTTTAAAATAAAATCCTAACTCTGCCGCTGATTTTCTGAAGGTCAGGTCATATTATAAACTCACTTTTGTCCTTTTCCTAATACAACAATATACCTACTTTTTTACTTTTTCTGATTGCAGATGCTCAAAAAATTCTTTTGTATTGATGGGAAGTTTTATCCTTACATCCCAAACATATCTCCTCTTTTCCTTCTTTTCTTTTCCTATTTATGGTACATTACTTGCTACCCTAATTTTCTTTTGGACTCCAAATTGGGAATAAACGGCCCAGTCTTCCTCTTCGTCTTCGTTTTGAGCCCATCTATTTTAAAGGTTGGACCCAATATATATGTGAATGGACTCTGCGATTAGACAGGGTCACTCCCAAGTGGAAGTGTTGGGCAATCTCTCTTGTTATTTAATTATGATTTAATTAAGTCTTCAATCTCATCAAATTCCATAAAATAACATACCACAATTATTTATTCTCATCGTGGAAAATAAAAGAAGAGAAACAAAGTTTTATATACAGAGAAATAGGTTTAATTATTTAATTATATTTAGTTTGCAAATAAATCCTTTTACAAAATTAACTAAACGCAATTTTGTGTGGGGGCCCATCTATGAAGTTAGACCATGCCAAACTCAAGATTATAAGGGCCTAAGTATCGAAGAATCCATCTTTCACAACAACTTCGGAGTCGCATCAATTCCCTAACACTCCTTTACCCGGTGGATTGCACGCCGTAAAATGTTTGAACAGGAGATGCATTGCACATATTAATTCCACCTAGTGCATCCTATGCAACAAAGATCTGAAGTCACATGACCATTTGTTCTTCAAATGTGACTATGTTAAGCCTTTAGGGCTAGTTTAATGTGGTGGAATGAATTGGAATGGAATGAGAATGGAGGTGGGAATGGAATGAAATGGTCATTCTTTTTGTTTTAAGGTGAAATGACTTTGATGAAATGACCATTCTCCAAGAATAGTAGGGAATAATGATTCCAACTTTAAAACTGACACCAAACACGAAAATGGAAAAAAATCCATTCCATTTCATTTCTTTTATTTCATTCCACCACACCAAATTAGCCCTTAAAGTCATTCTTAGGATCACGTTGTATCACATTACATTTTGCCCTCTTCTTGTGTAGAGTTAGTGACATGGGCTTCGCACCATTGGAGAGGGAACACTGGAACCTACTGCAACCCAATATCCACAATGGGACCGGCTTCCTTAGTGTACAACACTTGGAATGAGAGCAACGGAAGAATTTTTTAAATGAAATCAATGTTGCCAACTCTATGCTCCACCAGATTTTGGATACAATCAGGTTGAAACTTCTATCTTCATTGCCTCTCGGAACTCTAGCCAGATCATTGAAGAATGGGATCTACCACCGTCTGTGATCCATCCGCCGGCAAAGCCCCCTGACCACGGTGACTGAGGGAAGATTCTCTCCCTGCTCCGATCGGATTGGGATTATGGCAGTACCGGTCATATATTGTTTGATTTACATTGGAGGTTGCTGTATGCCTTGGGCCTTGGCCGGTTCCTATATTACCATTGGGCCTAATTCGGGCCCTTATTTGCAATTATCCATATTTATAAAATTAAATTTACCTTTCAAAATAAAATAAAATAAGTTATTCGGGTTCATCGATGGTCAAAAAATTAATTAACTTATTAATAAATAAACATCACAAAGTGAAAAAAAAAATTGTTAGAATATATAACTATATACACTTGCAAGTAAGATTTATTTTGCAGAGTATAGGTTATTAAAATTTATGGGAGTTAATAATATTTATTTCTATTAGAATTTTTAAAAAAACACAATACCTTATATTCTTTATTATTTTATTTTTTTAAAGCTAAAATTCTATTATTATAATTTTCCTGCTTGAAAATTTTAAAGCAATGTCAAAATTATGTCAATATATGTGATACTATAAACATGTAATTTAAATTTTATTTTACATAAATAACGTATAACATAAATGCACTTTATGTGGAATCGGTTTACAAAATATAGAAGAAAAAAATAATTTGTAATGTGTACGCGGAGTGTGCACGGATGGGCAAATTTGCCCACTCAATTTTTTTTTGGTCCTGTAATCCTATTTTTTTCTTTTTTTATGCATGTATTAAATAATTATAAAATTTTAAAATTGACCCACTCAAATTACAACAAAAAAAACCTCACTTAGCAATTTGCCCAAGAAGCAGCCCTTAGCCAAATTAGATTAGGAGAATTTTCAATTTTCTCTTCTCACTTGGGCGTTGGCTATCATTACACTTAAATTAAACATGCCAATATTAACTTTTGAACAAATGGATGTGGGCATGCCAATATTAACTTTTGAACAAATGGATGTGGGCTCGATTATATTGGGCATGTCACGCTTTCGTAATACGTCACTATAGCATTATCAATATATTGGCCTCAGGACTGCTCAATATAATTTAAAATCTTAGGCGAAAATTATAAAAATGACATCTTAATATATTAATAATATTATTTAAACGAAACTGTTTGAGAATAGGGCAACACAAATCTAACTTAATAATATATTTTTTTCACTATTGTATTATTTTTAAATTATTTAAAAATTAATTTTCATAATTATTAGTTAATTATTTTAGCTTAACTATTAGTTAAATATATACTCAATAGAAACGTGGAAGAAGGGGAGGAGGAAAAAAAATTAGATTAGGTTAGAATTGTGAATTTTGATAGAAAGTGAAACGAAAATTTTAGAATTAATCAAATTCTTTAACTACGACGAATATAATAATATAATAAAATAAAGAAGTCTATAATATATTGTTAACCTGACAATATATATACATTGTAAATAATAATAATAATAACAATAATAATATACAGTAGTATGAAAATAGTTACAATTCGTTGGAATTAATAATATAAGGAAAGAAAAATGTTAGGAACTTAGAAAGATAAAATAATAATTTTAGGGCTTAATAATTAGGAAATAAAAATTTTATGAAGTCTAATAAAGCAAGAAAATAATAATTTTAGGGGTCTTTTAATTGGCTCGACTATCTAATAATGTAAGGAAATAAAAATGTTTAAAAATTAAAATAATAATTTTAGGGCCTAATTGATAAAGGAAATAAAATTTTTAAGAAGTCTAATACAATGAGAAAAAAATATTTTTAAAGACTCTCTTATTAACTGGGGTTTTAGACGACCGTATCATGTATAATTGTATGATTTTGATGGGTTTTTTTTTTAGCACAGATTCACATTTTTTTTGTCACATAAACCGAACTTTCTAGGTCTGCCATTGACAGCTATAACAGTCAAATGGTCTAGATGACTCGCATGTAGCACAATTTCATATATTACTGATTTTGATCGTTCACACATGCTGTATTGCATAGATTCGGATTTTTTATCTTTAAAATGTGACTACACGTTGAGTCCACCAAACTAGAGCCTTTGGACTCCCAGACTTTTTTCTTTTGAGGAAGTATCAAATTGAAAAATAATAATACATAACATAGTGCATCTTTCTTGAGTCATTTTTGCACCGTGGAAATACGAAATTAAAAGTCAATTCCCGCACATACTACATGAAATATCATTGATCAATTAATTGACCTGACAATTAAGCTAGCTAATAAATCAGCTTTATATTAAATTAAAACTCGCCAATATAAATTAATCGATCAAACATCATTAAAAAAATATATATAGACGACACCCCTAGGTAGAAAAATAAGAAATGGAAACCCCTTGCCAAACACTAATACTAGTCTTAATTTCTTTCTACTTACAATACACTTTGCATTCCCTCGACTCACCCAACATTTTTCCTTCTGTTGAATTACCAGAAAATCCGACCTTTACATCTTCACAAGTGATGCTCAACTTTTTCCTATGTCCTCCTCCACTGTCACCCTTATTTATCCTCCTTACAGTACCATCTATAATCATAGTGATATTCACATCACCATCACCATCGTTGGTCACCGACGTTATTGATGGCGGTGGCGGTGTATTCACGGTCACCTCTACGGATCTACAGTCAAACTCGTACACATAGAAAGGCGCAATAGCAGTGGACGATATATTAACTTGTTTGTAGAAAATCGAAGCTCCCACTTCTTCGTAGAACATCCATTCATCCTTGTTAGGGTTTCCAACATGGAAACTCATGTTCCACCCACTCACAGTTGCATCATGTGATGGAGAGACTGAAACCGAGTCAACTCGGAACTTTGGAGGATGTGGTCCAGAGTCCGAGTCGTAGAAAACTCTATTTATCAGCGCACCAACGCCCACAAGTTCTAAGATAATCATCGATACCGTGAATACAACCATTACCCACGTTGGCAACCGGTTTGAATTGTCGGGTTGGTTAGGCTTAGCTGGACGTTGATCCGACGATCGGTTAGGCTGAGCTGGACGTTGATCCGACGATCGGTTAGCCTGAGCTGGACGTTGATCCGACGATCGGTTAGCCTGAGCTCGACGTTGGTCCACTGGTTGATTATGATCACCTCGAGGGTTTCCGGCCATTACTACAAACACCGTTGACGGAGGATGTCCCATCACGGCCGATTCATTACGATCTTCCATTGCTTCGATCAGCTTCTAGACGGTACGGTAGGAGGTAAAAAATTCGAAAGAATTAATGTATAGACCTGAATATATATTGATACGTACAAGAAAGATATACCTACCTATCGTTCTATCTATATCTGTATAGAGTTTTCAATAATTTTTTATTTTTTATAATGCATTTTTTTATTTTTTTATAAAATATGTAAAAAAAAAAAAAAAAAAATACTAAGAAGAAAAAAAACAATTCCTAAAATTCAGGAGGAAAAAAACCACTAATTTTGAAATCATTTTTTTGGACTTGGATCTTCTAAGTTGAATTTTTTTTAAGTTATCATAAGTTGAATTTTTTACCTAATGAAAAATGATACTTGCACCGATTACTTAAGTCCAAAACTCCACTATAGGTGTACTATAGTTAAAAAGAAAAAAATTTAAAGACAAAATTATCCTTACAGAATCCTAATTAGTAAAGAATCTTAATTATTAGTAATATCTCTGTTTATACATCTATATCCCATAATTTTCTTTTCTCACCCTTTTCTTTATTTCCATCATTGATTCTCGATCAAGATACACAAATATATCACTTTTATAGTACTTGGTTTTCTCAAAATTTTAAAAACTTCTTATTTATTTATTTACTTTTTTTATGTTTTGCGAAATTTTGCATATTCTTAAACATATATATATAGAGAGAGAGAGAAAGGGAGTAAATATAATATATATACATATTCTTAGTATATACTTCTAATACTAATAGGTATTGGTTTGCTAACCGGGAGAGTGTTTTGATAAAATTTTAAAAAGGGAATTGAATTGCAGTATACATCTATCTAGAGAAACATAGTATTCTAATAAAATTTATAAAAGGAGTTTAAGAGATTTTTAATTATAGTTGCTTTTTAAACGATGATTTCAATTAAGTGGTACTAAAAAGGGAGGATGAATACAAGAAGACAATTTAAGGATAATTTTATCTTTAAAAAATTATATTGTTTTAATAGACATCCTAGTGGAATCATTTGATTACCATATTAATTTGTCTTTTTGTGCTCTGTACATTCTGCCTAACAAATCGGTCTAATCTTGATAATTGAGTATCACGACTCTTAAAATTACACCATTAAAAGCTTTGCTGTTTGATCCATCTTATTTACAGAAATAATTAAATTTAAAAAGAGAAAGAAAAGGAAAGAAAATGATTTCTTTGAATCCATTTAATCTATATGATGACAACGAGGCAAGGACACAAAGAATTGTTCACAGGATTGTTGACTTGCTTGTTCGAGTCAAGTTTCCCTCCTTTGGAGGCTGTTATTTGAAGCTGTGTTTGGGTCTAGTTACTGTTGTAGCTAGGTCTGCTTTGGATTGGGCTGGTTTTTGGGCCGGGATTTGAATTTATTCCAGTCTCCCTCAACCTATTTGTAATTGTTCTATTGCATTAATAAATTCAATTTTACCTTTCAAAAAAAAAAAAAAAATGCATAAATTAACTAATTAAGACTTGTTTAATGGTGTACTAAAGTAGAGAATTAGAATAAGTTGGTTAACGTGAGCCAAATAATACTCATGAAGGATGTTTGTTTAAGGAGTGTTAAGTGTTTAATTACAACTTTTGTGTTGATCTTCTCTGTCAGTTTGTTAATGTTTATGTTTGGGCTTTTTTTGGCTCAACTCAGGTAGAGGATAGCACTATTTGTATAGCTTCAATAAGGAATATAATCCGGAAAAATGGGAAGATCTTTCAATCAAATTAAATAATCATGAACAGCAATATGCTGTAGATTGCTGTAAAAAACTTCAACTAAATCACATTTAAAAGATATTTTAGTAAGTGGTATAGAATCAGTAAATCAACACACTCATAAGTCCAATTCAAGGCAAAATGATGAAGGTGCAGTGTAGAATTGGGTTGCTGGATTTGGATTTAAATGCTTAGAGTTGAGATAATTGGTTTACTAAATCCATCTGTTGTATTCAAAATTCATCATGTTGAAGGAACTTGAGGGCCTAATATTTGAACACCTAATCTATGGTCTGTAATGACTTCTAAAAAGTATAAAATGCCTAAATGTGCAAATTAAGTGATGGTTACTAAACTGAATTCACAAAATACAATTTCATGGATTTTTTCCCTCTTTATAGTGGCATTTCTAGTAGTTAATTGCACATTCATCATTTCAAAATGATCAAGACACGGGGCAAATTTTCTTTTAAACTTTTTATTCTAGTTGACAAGAGATTATTTTTTAATAGGGAGGAACACGGTAGCAACCAATTGAAGAACTTGAAATAAAACTCTCTTACTCTATATGCATCCACTGCATCCACTGAATGTTTTTTTTAAACTAGCAATCAAAAGAGGAGGCCAAGAATTTTAGAAAATAAAAGGAGCAGTGCACATCAGAAGAAGAAGAACCCGAACCAAAAATACCAGTGCCAGTTGAAGACTACCCAAGAAGTGTCGATTCAGTTATAAACTCAAAACCTAACCCCAATTTCGTCATACGCATCAAAGCCCAAACTGTAGAAGATTTATGAGAAATCAATGGAGGAAAATCTTCCAATATTGATGTTCATTGAAGTTGTCATTGAAGGAATCAATGGAGGAAAATCTCTATTATTGATGTTTCCTTTTATTGAACATAAGAAAAATATTTAAGTATTGATGCTCTTTCCTATTTTTGACGATTTATTGTTATATATATTTATCATTGAAGGATCAATTAATGGAGAAAAATCCTCCATTATTGATGTTTCTTTTTATTAAAGACACTGAGGGATTTGTGGATTCATTTTTTAATGATATTGTTTTCTTACAGCTCTTCATCAATCTTGCTGCTTCTACTCATCTTGCTGCTACTCGTCATCTAAATGACATTCATGTTCCAACTTGAGAGTCTTTTCTATCGTTAAAGATTTACTTATTGAAGAATCAATAGAAAAAAATCTTTCAATATTGATACTCTTTCCTATTGTTGAAGATTTACTGTTATATTATTTTCCTCCATTATTGATATTTTCTTTTATTGAAAATATTTTTCCTATATCTATTTCTTTCCTTATTTCTTTTCTCCTATGATAAAAGATATGTAGCCGGTCTGATACCATATTAAAATATAGAAAAAAATTAAAGAGAGAAATAAGATAGAATATACGTGGTTCGGTCACTAGGATTTTCATCCACGACACACAAAATTCAATATTTTAACATGGTATCAGAGCAGTTTACATATCTTTTATTTTAAAAATCTCTCTTTTCATGTTCAATACAATGGTATAGAATCTTTTATATAGAAGAAGAAATATTGAGAATGAAAAGAAATATATATCGGAAATAACATCAATGCTAAATCTTCAACACTAACCTCAATTTTGTAAATACATCAGCAGAATTTGAAAACCCTAACCTGTTCTCAAGGATAACAACTTCGAAAAATTGCCAGCTAGAACCTCAAAATCTCATAGGTGAGTCATGTATTCACCAAAGGAAATAAATGATGAATCGATTAAAAAACAGATCGGTACACAAAAATAAAGGATCGACCGTCGTTTATGTTTCTGCTTTTTTCGGCTTACACAGCCTGCTCCCAGCATACTTTGGCTCTCTACGTGTTCATGTTAGATAGTACAGAACAAAAATCCCAGTTTTACGTGAAATAAAAATCAATATTTCATCAATATTACATGGCACATATAATTAAAAAAAAATAGTTCTCATTAACATTATAGAACATAAATTTTGATCAATTAGTTGACCTGACAATTAAGCTAATAAATCAGCTTTCTATTAAATTAAACATCTCCGATATAATTAATCATCAAACATCCGAAAAAAAATAAAAATAAAAATAAATATTGGGCACCCCTAAGTAGAAAAATAAGAGAACCCTTGCCAACACTACAATTCTTAATTTCTTTCTACTTACAATGGACTTTGCATCCTCTCGACTCACCCAACATTGTTCCCGCTGTAGTGTTATCAGAAAATCCGACCTTCACATCCTCACAAGTGACCCTCAACTTTGCCCTATATCCTTCACCATCACTCTCCATTATCCTTACAATACCATCTACAATCATAGTGAAATTCACAGCACCATGTAAAGTACTATCCACCACAATATTGTCCACAACCCACCGGTTGGTCATGGACATTAGTGATGGGGCTGTCACACTCACCTCAAGGGACCTACAGTCAAGCTCGTACTGATAGAAAGGCGCAATAACCGTGGACGATAGATTAACTTGTTTGTAGAAAATTGAAGCTTCAACTTCTTCGTAGAAGATCCTTTCATCCTTGTTAGGGTTTCCAACATGGAAACTGATGTTCCACCCGCTCACAGTTGCATCATCATGTGATGGATAGACTGCAACCGAGCTAACTCGGAACTTTGGAGGATATGGTCCAGAGTCCGAGTTCCGGTCAGAGATACTATTATACATCACAATAACCAATGTAGCAAGCATTAAGATCATCGATGTTGCAAAGAATATGAACAAGATCCACCCTCGCACAACATCGTTTGCACTGACGGGTCGGTTTGGCTGAGCTCGAGGTTGGTCCAACGGTCGGTTAGGCCGAGCTCGACGTTGATCCAACGGTCGGTTAGGCTGAGCTCGACGTTGGTCCAACGGTTGATTATGATCATCTCCAGGATTTCCGGCCATTACGACAAACACCGTTTCCGGATCAGGATATCCCATCACGGCCGATTGATTACGATCTTCCATTGCTTCAGCTTCAAAACAGTATTACCGGTGGCAAAATTTCGTAAGAATTAATGTATATACCGGAATATATCATGTATAGATACGTGCAAGAAAGATATTTCTATCTATCAACATCTGCATAGACTTTCCAATCATTTTTTATTTTTTATAATGAATTTTAATTTTCTAATAATATTATTTATTCCTATAAAATGATTGGAACAACAATCATTTTATATTAGTCTATTTGTATTAAATAACTAATTTTTTATTCTTTTGTAAACCACATCAAATGGTCCTAC